GATTCATCCCATAGACACAGACCCTTGCTGTGGTGAGCATCTCAAACAGCATGGCAAATGCTTCAGGCTGAGGGCGAGGGGATGTGGGGCTGAGAACCCTCAGGCTCAGAGCAGGCCCTGAGATGTGTTTGGGGCAGCAAGTTTATGGTGTTTAGGATGAGGAGTCAAACGCACACAGGGGTGGGCACCATGCTGCTGTTGTGCTCTGGTGTCAGCACTGGGCTGACAAAACCACCTTCCCCATGCACCCCTCATCTTTCTGAGGGGTGCACCCGAGGATGGCATCCTCCTGTGCACCACTGTGCACATCCCAACCGCCACTGTGTTAGCGCAGGGACCCCGCTCCCAGCAGAGCCGCATGCACAGGGCTGGGTGGGGATGGAAGGGCTCAGTCCATGCTCCCCGCCTCACCCCCTTTGCAGGGCAGGCGGTGCTGGCTGTGCTGCCCCTGCCATCCCTGCACCATCTCCCAGGTGCTGCAGTCCCTGTGCAGGGGGAAGGATGCCTCCAGCAGGAAGCTGCAGCACCGGATGGTCTCCAGCACCCCGCGCACCCAGGGCAGCCTGCCAGGGAGACCTGAAGAAGGTCTCCACTGGGGTCAGCAGCCCCGGGGTGCCAGGGCCGCCTGGTGCCCCAGCCGCAGTGCCCTCCCACCCCACAGGGCTGGGTTAGGTTGACCCCAGCCACAGGCTGTGCTTTGAGACACCCAGGGCAGCAGGTGCCGGCAGGGATTATTTTTCCCCCCAGCACCTCTGTGACAAGCACAGTTTTCAGGTTGCTTCTGGATCTCTCTAACACCCCTGTCACCCCAAGAGCACCCTCAGCTCTGGGCACGCCAAAGGTCCTCCTTCAGCAGGACCCATCCTGCGGTCAGTCGGTGATGGGAGCCCAGTGCCCGCAGGCATCCCCTCAGCTCCCATTTGCCAGCACCCGGATCCCGGCCTCCCTGCCCGCAGATACCACGGACAGCCGCAGGAAGCCCATCAGCTCCGCAGTAGAGGAGCACATTTCCCGGCCAAATCCCAGTCACAGCCAGGCTCCGGTGAGCCAGGCTGTGCTGAGCCGAGCCTGGCCCTAGCTGGCTGCTGGGTGCATGCTGCTGGGTGCATGCTGCTGGTGCATGTCACTGGGTGCATGTCGCTGGGTGCATGTCGCTGGGTGCATGTCGCTGGTGCATGTCGCTGGGTGCATGTCGCTGGGTGCATGTCGCTGGGTGCATGTCGCTGGGTGCATGTCGCTGGGTGCATGTCGCTGGTGCATGTCGCTGGGTGCATGTTGCTGGTGCATGTCGCTGGTGCATGTCGCTGGGTGCATGTCGCTGGTGCATGTCGCTGGTGCATGTCGCTGGGTGCATGTCGCTGGGTGCATGTCGCTGGTGCATGTCGCTGGGTGCATGTCGCTGGGTGCATGTCGCTGGGTGCATGTCGCTGGTGCATGTCGCTGGGTGCATGTCGCTGGTGCATGTCGCTGGTGCATGCCGCTGGGTGCATGTCGCTGGGTGCATGTCGCTGGGTGCATGTCGCTGGTGCATGTCGCTGGGTGCATGTCGCTGGGTGCATGTCGCTGGGTGCATGTCGCTGGGTGCATGTAGCTGGTGCATGTCGCTGGTGCATGTCGCTGGGTGCATGCTGCTGGGTGCATGTCGCTGGGTGCATGCTGCTGGGTGCATGTCGCTGGTGCATGTCGCTGGGTGCATGTCGCTGGGTGCATGTCGCTGGGTGCATGTCGCTGGGTGCATGTCGCTGGGTGCATGTCGCTGGGTGCATATCGCTGGGTGCATGTCGCTGGGTGCATGTCGCTGGGTGCATGTCGCTGGGTGCATGTCGCTGGGTGCATGTCGCTGGTGCATGTCGCTGGGTGCATGTCGCTGGGTGCATGTCGCTGGGTGCATGTCGCTGGGTGCATATCGCTGGGTGCATGTCGCTGGTGCATGTCGCTGCGTGCATGTCACTGGGTGCATGTCGCTGGGTGCATATCGCTGGGTGCATGTCGCTGGGTGCATGTCGCTGGGTGCATGCTGCTGGGTGCATGTCGCTGCCTGCTCCGGCGTGTGCGGGTGCCGGCGGCGGTGGGGGAGCCGGGCGCGTTCACGTGGCGCTGCCCGTGCGGCGTGGGAGGTGGGCCGCGGCGGCGAGGGAGGGGGCTGCCGTGCTACCTGCGCCCGCTGCGCCGAGGCAGAACGCGCTTGTCAGGCAGCGCCTGGCTCCGTTGCCAAGGCAATGGGGACCATCTTACTCATCCTCCTCGCTATTGTTCTCCTGCCAGCCTCGAGGTGCCCGGGTGGGAAGAGGAGGAGGAGGAGGCATCCGGCCCGGGATGAAGGCTGCCGGAGGGGACTGGAGGGTGCCCCCCATGACCCGCGCTGGCCAGTGGGACACGGTGTGCTCCGGAATGCCAATGGGGATGGGGAGAGCGGCTGCCAGCAGAGCTGAGAGTGGCAGTGGAAGGAAATGTCAGCAAGATGTGGTCCCAAAGCCCCCTGCCCTGAGGCAAGGTCCCAGACAGGGGATGGGGGCATTCTGGTCCCCTCCTCTGCCAGGACTTGATTCTCCCCTCAGTGTCCCTTGTCCCCCCAGGGTGTGTGTCCAGGGCTGGGTCTGAGCCCACACGGGACAGCACAGGATGTGAACCCATACCTGTTCCCCACCCTGTGCTCCCCAAACCTGCAGGTGGTCAACTGGGACCAGTCATTGCTGCAGGACTGGGACCACGGGTCCACAAAAACCACGAAGGGGGAACACGCTGATGTGTGCAGGGAAACACCCTCACCCCAGACACCCATGGGGTGCCTGGTGGTGACATGGGGGTGCCCCACTTTGCCCCAGGGTTGAGGGGAGAGGCGAAGCTTTTTATTTCCATATCCTGCCTCCCTATTTTTAGCCTTCGGCTTTTGTTCCAGCCTGGCTGTTTACTGGAAGGAGCATTTCCAACCTCCCTTGTCTCCAAGCAACCAGGTGTGCCAGCTCCCATCACCCAGCCTCACCCTATAGATCTATACCTATAGGTAGATATAGGGTAGGGGGATGCTAACGGTAACACCAAGGTCAGAGAACCCTGTCTTGGGGTTAACATAAGCACAAACACACCCTGACCCTATAAATCTATAGCTGTTGCTCCATTGTTGACATCCCCAGGTCAGGGAGGGAATCCTATAAGGTGATGTGGGCATATATAGAGGGGTTGGATGGGGGGCAGCTGGGGAGTTTTGGGGGGATACTGGGGGGCTTTTGGAGGGATGCAAGGGGGGTTGGGGAGATGCTGGGGGGGCTTGGGGGGATGCAGAGATGAGGCGCGGCGAGCAGGCCGCCTTCCCCCCGCAGCGGGAGTGCGTGGGAAGGAGTTAGACAAAGCCTGAGCCTGGGAGCAGAGGCAGGCGCTGCCGGGAGGGAGACGGGGACGATCTCCCCTCCCTGTCCTCTCCCACCCCTGGGCGAGGGGTGCGTGGGAGCCCACCTCTGTCACACCACAGTGACACGCTGTCCCGGTCCCTCGCTCTGGTTGAGGTACAGCACCCCCTCCCACCCCCCCCTCCCCCGTGATGCCTGGGAGGGAAGCATCCGTCTCCATCACCAGGTAGGAGGGGGACTGGACTCGGTGCCACTCACTGTCAGCCCCACCCGCAGGACCCCCTAAGGGTTGAGGACCCCCTGACCGTGACTCTGCTGTGCCAGGTGCACCGGGGTGACAGGGTCGGGGATGCTGGGGAATACGAGGGGGTGATGGGGTCTCCCCGGGCTGGCAGGGGGGGTGACACCCATGACACCGAGGGGAGGGGGGTGTGTACTGGGCCTCCCCCCTCCCGCGGCAGCCGGTCCTCCCTCGCCTCCCCACCATTGCCCGGGGGCTCCGGGGCGGGCGGCAGCCAGGGGGAGCGGCCCGGGGCGCGGTACCGCCCCCGCCGCCGCCGCCCCACGCATGCTCGCCGCTGCCGCCACCGCGCCGGAGCCGAGCCGAGCCGAGCCGAGCGAGACGGGACGGGACTGGACGGGACGGGACGGGACGGGACGAGCCCAGCCGCCGCCGGCACGGCCGCAGGTAACGACGGCCTCGGGGCGCACGTGGCGGGGCCGGTCTCGCTCCCGATCCCGGTGCTACCGCAGCCGCCCGGCCGGCACCGGCTTCCCCAGGGACGGGCAGCGGGGCCGGGGGAGTGTGGGGGGGGAGGTGTCGGGATCCCCCTGTCCGGTGCTGCCGCTGGAGCCGGTTTGTCCGGGGCTCGCGCGTGGAGCCGGGGCGTGCACACGCGTGTCCGTGCGTGCGGGTGTGCCCGTGGCCATGTGCTGGCGTGTGCGTGCCTGTGCGTGTGCACACGCGTGTTTGTGCGTGTTTATGCGTGTGCACACGCGTGTGCGGGGCGTCGCAGCCCCTCCGTGGAGCAGCGGCACGGGGTCAGGGCACCCGCAGCCCGCCGGGATGGAGGGTGCTGTCAGAGCAGGTCGGGGTGCGCGGTGGCATGAACCCCGGGTATGGAGGGTGATGCGTGGGGAGACAGAGTCGGGAGGGCACCGCCTCCGGGCCCCGGTGCTCCTGGGGAGGGTCGGTGCCAGCCTGGTCCCTGCTCCTGCTGTGTCCCGTGGGGGGATTTGCTCTGCTCTGCCCTCTCGGGACCCAGAGTGACCGTGGCTAGGGCTCATGCGCTCGCAGCTCCAGAGGGAGGCACTGGCATTGGCAGAGCTGGGGGCTTCTCTGGGGCTTCCCACCATGCTCCTGCTACACGGCTGTCCTGGGGGGCTGAGGGGGCATGGCCGGGAGATTGGGGCACCCTCAGCTTGGGGTGTCGGTGCTAAGCTGGGGGTTCCCGTGCCTGGGGGATCCACATCACTCACACCAGCTCTGGGAACGCTGGTCCCAGTGAATGGAGGGAAAGGCTTGGGCTGCCCCGTGCCCGGGCTGTGCCCTGCAGCCCCCCTCAGTCCCTGTGCCCAGCTTGCTGTCACCCCATGCTGTGCCCACCTCCCCACTGGCAAGTTGGGGGTGCCGAGCCCCCCCAGGCTCTCAGCCTGGTGCCCAGGGCCATGCTCCAGATGCCACTCTCCCTGCAGCGGTGCCTGTGTCACATCCCCCTGCTCCGGCAGGCACAGCAGCGCCTTGATCCTGCTCCCGGTCCCAACCCGTCTGTGCTGGGAGAAGGTTGGCTTTTACGGTAGGCAGCCAACACAGTTCCTCCCTCCCCGTGGGGCTGGGCACTGGGTGCCACCACACAGGCTGTGCCAGTGGAAGCTGCAGGCAGCTGCCCAACCTGTTGTCATGGATGGCATGGAGAAAAACAGTGGGGAGCTGGGGGTGCGTGAGCTGCTCCCTCCTCACTGCCCCATCCTCTCTCTTGCAGACCCACAGCGGGACTAGCATGGGAGAAGCCTTCTCCAGGCATGGGCAGCGCTAAGGAGCCGGAGGGGCTGAGGCTGCTGAGCTGCCAGGCCGGGGCCGAGGACGCCTGCGAGCCCGGTGCCAGCTCCCCTGGGTGCCCTCCAGTGGGTGAGTGCCTGCCCGGCTCCGGCTGTGCCGCGGGAGGCCGTGCCGTGAGGACCTGCTGTGTGGCTGCACCGGAGGCCCAGGGCACCATGGCCAGCACAGTGGTGGAGAAGGTGCCATCGCCGACAGGCCCAGCTCCCAGCACGCTTCTCCGGGACACCGGCACAGAGCCAAGCGTGGCAGCAACGACAGGGACCTGCGGGGGACCAAGTGGCGCTGCCCCAGCCTGTGGCCCCGCGGGGATGGAGGTTCCCAGCACCCAGAAGAACACGGCCTCCGTGCCCCCCCTGCCCGAGCCCTGCCTCAAGGCACCCAGCAAGGACGTGGGGAGCGCGCCGGCTCCTGCCAAACACGTGGCATTTGCGGAGCCTACCGTGGCTGCTGGAGCAGCAGCGGAGCTTCCGAGCCAGGGTCAGCCCCAGGGTGTCACAGGGACATCCCTGGGCGCTGCACCCCAGCCAAGGGGTGGTGAAGCTCCCAAGAACCTCCAGGGGGGCACAGCAGAGCCCCCTGGCACCAGCACTGTGGGGAGCAAGGGCAAAAGTGAGTCAAGGTCAAACCCCACTACCCCAGGCCAGGGTAGAGCTGAGGAGAGCCCAGCCCGGCGTGCGGATGCTGGGAGCGGCCAGCAGCCCCAGCAAAGCAAGCTGCTCTGCGAGTCCTACTCCTTTGAGGTGACCCCACCGCAGGACAGCGGGACGCAGGACATGGGGACACAAGTGGACAACCGAGCATCCCTGGTGTCAGTGGCCTTGAGTCCCATGAGCCCCCCAGGTGGGGCTGCTGCTTTCACCTTCCCCAAGAGGGAGCTGGGCTCTGCTGCCGCCCCATGCCTGCAGCCCTCCACGAAGGATGCGGAGATGCAGGTGTCCATGCCTGTGGAGACGCGCTCCGTGGCCACTGGCCCCATGACACCAGTGGCCAAGTCCCCGCAGGCCTCGTACCCCGAGGTGCATGTGAAGGGGACGGTGGTGGAGGAGACTCCGGAGCCCATCCGGGAGGTGAGCTGGGACGAGAAGGGGATGACATGGGAGGTGTACGGGGCCTCCATGGAGGTGGAGGTGCTGGGCATGGCCATCCAGAAGCACCTGGAGAAGCAGATCGAGGAGAGGCAGGTGGTGGTACCCCCGCAGAGCACCCGCACCGGCTCCGTCAAGGGGGACCCCCGCAAAGGCGAGGAGCCCAAGAGGCAGCCCAGTGTCTTTCGGGCTCTGCTGCAGAACGTCCGGCGGCCCCGGTGCTGCTCCCGCACCGGCCCTGCCATGGAGTGAGTTGCTGCTGCTGGGGTGGGGGTGCCATGGGGCTTCTTGGGGGAGGTGAGGGGGGGGTCCCTGCCCTGGCATCCTGAGACACCCGCTGCCAGTGTGCAGGGCTCCTGGGGCAGGGGGTGATGGAGCACTGCATGCTGCAGCACAGCATCTCCTTTGCTGGGGGGCCCCCTGGCAGCCTGGGGTCCCCCCACCGACCTAGCCCCATGGAGGTACCCTGGGATGTGATGCTGGTGCCCTGTCTCTGTGCCTGGTGGCATCTGTCAGCACGAAGAAGCACATGGCACAGCTCTGGGAGGGCTCAGGATGGGCATGGGCAGGGCGCTGCTGGCTCCCCTGAGCTCTGGCCTCACTCACATCCCAGGCAGCAGCATCACTCCCCATGCTAGAGAGACGCTGGTGCATTCCTGTGCCACCTCTTTGCCTGCCCAGGGCTCAGCCACACTCTGACCAGCCCATGGCCATGCACACGCAGCTCCCTGTGGCTGCCCATCCAGCCCTGTTCATCCCAGCCACAGCCCCATCTTCTGCCCCACTCTGTGCAGTGGGTGCTCTGGAGCTGGAAGGACGTAGGCACATGGGGCACTGGGACTGAAGTGGGAGAGACTGGGACCAACCATGACTAATGGAGAGCTGCTCATCCCCATCACTGTGGCTGGAGTCTGTCCCCATGGTCCCCAGCTCCCCCTGCCTGGGGCCTGCCCGGATCCCATCCTCACCACGATGGGGATGGGGCTTGCCCTGCTGCCGGTCCCATCCAGCTGCTCCAGTGCTGGAGAGGCCCCATGTGCCTGGGACGTGGGGGCACATCCCTGTGAGGTCCCTCCAACAGCAGCCAGGGATTCGATGGTCCCAAAGCGCTGCCACTTTTTACAGCTGGGGTTTTAGAGGGTGGGCGGGGGGGGCCTTTTCTTGAACCGTGTTTGCATTTTTGGAGCTTTTTAAGAGACTCTGAGCCCTGTGTGTGTGTGTTCTGCCTGGAGCCGCCTCCCCCCCGGGCTCCTGCAGGGCTCTCACCCTCCTTTCAAACACTTTCCCTGTGTTTCTGGATTGCGTCGGGAGCCAAGGGTGGGTGAGCATCCCTACAGCAGGCTGCACTGCAGCATCCAGCCGTGATGTGGGGCCTGACCCTGTGGGCAGGAGCAGCCCCACAGTGCCACAGCGAGGGCAGCCAGCACCCGATGGGCAGGAAGCTGCTAACAGAGTGCTTGGGGAGCTGCACCATCCCCTATGGGCAGAGGTGTACGAGGGCTTGAGGTGCCGGGGTCACCGGTGCAGCCGCTTCTCCTCTCTAAGGGGCAATTCTTGCCCTGCACCCCAAATCCCTTTTGGGGATCCTGGGCTTGTTTTGGGCCTGTGGGGCTGTTTCTGCTGGGGAGGGGGGCTGTGAAGGACTCACTGAAGCACCAGCGAGCAGCCAGTGCCTGCTCTGTGCCATGGCACTCACTGCACCCGGTTCTGCTCAGTGCCTTGGGCTGCAGGAGCAGTGCTATGGCCACGCAGGGATGACCAGGAGCCCTGCAGCATCCCCCTGCCACCCTGCCCAGGGCTGTTCCCCACCTCCAGCCCCTCACTGCCGAGCTGGCTCCATCACCCATGTTGTTCTGTTTTCCTCTTCATTTCTTTTTTTGGGGGGGGTTGTGGGGAGGAAGGGGCGGGGGGACCAATGTGTCAATGTGGATGTTGGGTAATAAAACCTTGCACAAACCTCTGCGCGGGGCTGCCTGCGCCTCCCTCCCCAGGGGTGAGCAGGGACAGTGGGGCAGCCCACAGAAGGGTCCTGGGGACAAGAAGCCAGGCCAAGCCCCATGGTGGCACTGGCCTTCCCTCTTCATGCCAGGAGAGATGACCCGCGGGCTGGCTGAGCACCGCAGCAGATGTTGTGATGGGCACAGGACGCTGGTTAATGGGCACAGGACAGGTTTATTGCCAGCCTCTGAACACAGCATCACCAGCGCAGCTGCCTGAGTCCTGCTCTGGCCCAGCTGCACCCCAGATGCCTGCTCACAGGTCTGTGGTGGTGAAGGTGGTGTTGATGTACGCTGTTTTGCTGGGCTGGTTCAGGTTCAGGGCAGCCACCAGCGCCTCCCTGTCAGAGGGGTCTGTGAGCTCCGCTTTGCCCTCCTGTGGGATGAGAGTGGTGAGACGGGGTGGGGACAGAGTCCCAGGGCAGGGACACTCTGCCATCTTCCCAGGCACTGAGGGCTGTCAAGGGGGTGAAGAGGAAGGGACATGAGGGGTCCAGGAGGCTGGGGGGCCAGCAGAGAGGAGGGGGCATGGGGTGCTGTGGCAAGACTCCCTGCTGGGCACCAGTAGCAATTTTCACGCTCACCTTGGCCTTGAGTTTCTCATCCCCGGGTGCATTTACTGTGTTTTCATCCAGGGAATTCATGCTGTGGAGAGTGGAGGGTGGGCGTTAGCAGAGGGCACAGGCAGTGGTGGGTTGGGGACACAGGGTGATGGCCCTCTGGGACCGGCCTGCAGAGCTCACCTGGCCACAGAGCTGGAATCCTCGTGGAAGCCCAAGTCGTGTGAGGGATCGAGCGAGAGGTTCAGCATGGGGTTGGCCCTGGCCAGGGATAGGTGGCAGGTGAGTGACCATCCCATGGGGCAGCCCGGGACAGCGGTGTCCCCAAGGCAGGAGGGGTGTGCAGTGAGCCCTGCAGCCCCTGGCTGTGGGGACATGCCTGGGCTCTCCCCTTCTGCCGGAGGAGCTCCACACTCACCCCTCTGCATTGTACTGGTTGGTGCCGGGGATGCCAGGACCCTGCTGCACCATGGCAGGGCTGAACGTCGTGGCTGCCTTCAGAGCCTTCATTGCATGCAGCTTCCTCTTGTAGCTGTGAATCCAGGGACAGGGCGGGTGAGAGGGGCAGGGGTAGCTGGGAGGGGGATGGAGGGCAGGGGGATGCTGGTGATGATGAGGGTGGTGAGGGGAGGCAGGAGGGGGTGCAGGTGGTGTGGTACCTCCTAGAGGTGAGAACCAAGACCAGGGTCATGATGAGGATGAAGATGAGCAGGAATGCTGCCAGCCCTGCAATGATGCCGATCAGCTCTGTCTCCCTGGTGGGCTTCACCACCTCCCCGGGACCCTGGTGCAGAGCAGGGGTGAGGGCACAGCCCTGGCCAGCAGAACCAGCCCCTATCCTCACGAGGGCCCCTGTGCCCCTCGCCCAGCCCCACTCACGATGATGGCCAGGCCCAGGCTGACCAGCTCAGCCAGGATCAGTGGATCAGACTGTATGAGCCTGCCAAGGGAAGAGGAGAGAGCAGTGGATGGGCTAGTCGGGGTGCACAGCAGTGCCCGTGCATGGCCCTTGCCCCGGCACAGACATGCTCAGCTGGTTGACATCCAGGGCAGTGCCGTTGCTGTAGACGAAGTACACCTCCATCACTGACTTGGCTACCACCCTGCAGGAGCAAAGAGATGGGGTGAGCAGGAAGCAGGGTGACACCCCCGACCCCAGTGTCCCCTTCCCCATTGCCTGCAGGGCCCCACTCACTGGGAGGCACGGGTCTCCTCCATTCTCTTGATTCCTGCCACGTACACTCCTGCCTTGGTCACGGCGGTCAGGGCCCTAGGGACAGGAGGGATGGACAGAGGTTGGGCTGAGCACCCTGCTCCACTCATGGGCATGGGAAGCAGCTCAGCCCCCTGCAACCCCTGGCTGCAGTGGGGACAGCCTGCATGTTCGTATCCCCCACTGCACAGCCACCACCCCAGCCTCCCCAGCCTGGCCTCGCTCTCCTTACGCTATGATGCTTTGGATGTTACTCTGGACTTCATCCACCGTTGTCACAAACTGGAGGCGAATGCGGTAGCTCTGATCCACCGTGAAGATCTGAACGTGGAGCACAGGGGTGAGTGTGGCTGGGCAGGGTGCGGGGTGTCCCCAGAGAGGGGGATCAGGGGTGACACTCACAGTCAGCACAGTCTGTACTCTGTGCACTGGTGCCTCATTGTCCTGAGCCTCCACTGTCACCTGGTACTGCCCCTTCAGCGAGCCATCAAGGTTGCTGGCCACCCTGTGGGGACAGGGACATCCACAATCACACTGGGCTGCACAGGGTGTCCCCATCATCCTCCAGGCTCCACCCTGCCCAGGGCAGGACCCCAGGATGGCTTTGTCCCAACTCCAGCCTGCCCTGGCCCTGCCTGCACCTCTGCTTTGCTGCACCCTCCCCAGCCCAGCCCCACAGCCTCACTGGATGCTCCCGATGTAGATGTCCTTCTCAGTCGTTGTCACCAGCTTGAAGAGGTTCTCGAAGGGCCGGCTGACCCCGTTGTCCTCCACAAGCACCACACTGATGATGGAGAAGCTGATGGTTCCCCCCTGCCCTGAGTCAGCATCTGTGGCCTGCAGGGACAAAGGGTGGCAGAAGCCCAGATAGGAATGGCCAGCACCTGCCTGCAGTGGGGATGGGAGAGCCCAACAGACACACACAGATCCTCACCTTCACAGCAGCCACTTGCAGGTCCACTGGGGAGGTTTCAGGGACAACCACTGCCAAGGAAAGATGGACGGATGATGTGTTCACGCTGGTGTGCAGCCAGCCTTGCTGCGGACCCCGTGCCCCACAGCCCCATGGCTCAGCAGAGCTCTGAGCATACCCCTGCTGCCCTAAGCCCCACAACCTTCATGGAAAGCATTGAATAACCCCTGCACCTCTCTCAGCCCTGCCTCCCTGCTGGGAGAAGGTCCCTGCTGCTGGGCAGTGTGTCAGAGCATGTGTGGGTGCAGGGAGGAGACCACAGGGTGCACCAACCCCAGCTGCTCACCAAAGGTCTCTGTGACAGGCAGGAAGACCGGTGCGTTGTCATTCACATCAGTGATGAGGATTCTCAGGGTTTCTGCAATATCCCCAAAGCAGAACTCTGGTCACCAACAGGGCATCCCTGCAGCACCCTCCTCTGCTTCTGTGACAGCCCCATCCTCCCAGCAGGCTCCAGTTCAAAAGAGGGACACCCTCTCTCCATTGCCAAACCACGTGGCTCCCACCCTGCTCCCCACACTTAGGAGGTGGGAGAGGCAGGTCCCAGCACCCACCATGCTCAGTGGTGGTGGAAGGAGCGGGCAGTGGGTGCCGTTACCGTTCTGGCTGTAGCGGTTGCCCTTCTCAGTGTAGAGGTCTTCAGCGCGGAGCATGAGCACCACCGTGTCACACAGCTCGTAGTCGATGTCAGAGCTGTTCACCAGCACGGAGCCGTTGGGTGCCAGCAGGAACCAGTCCCAGCACACATCCCCGGCGCTGCTCCCATCCTTGAAGCAGGTGACTGCCAGCTCCTCGAAGACCAGCGAGTGATTGGTGTCTGGGTCAGAGGCGACCAGTGTGACCACCAGCCCCTCCTGCGTGCCGTTCTCGCTCACGTGAACGTCCTGCGGGACCGGCTGGATGCTGGGGGGCTCGTCATTGACATCCAGGATGTGGACCACCACTGGGACGCTGGCATTGGCCCCCACGTCGTACGCGGCCGTGTTCTCCGCCACCACCACCAAGGAGAAGAACTTCTCCTGCAGGGTGTCATAGTCCAGGGCCATGTCGGGGTCTACAGTCAGCTGCCCAACATAGTGCCCTGCTTTCAGGCGGGACGAGCGGATCAAGAAGTTGCTAGAGCCGCTGCTCCTCTCAAGCAGGAAGGAGATGCGGGAATTGATCTCTGTCCGGTCAGCATCTGTGGCCTCCACCTCACCCACTAGGGCCCCTGCAGGTGGAGACAGACACTCAGTGGCCAGCAGGCACACGCTCTGGGCCACCACTGGTCCCACAGCCCTGGCCACACAGCTTCTACCTGGGGAGTCTTCGAACACTGAGAACTCGTAGGACTGGTTGAGGAACACGGGAGCATTGTCATTCACATCCTGCAGGAGACAGAGCCATGGTTGTAGCTGCTCCAGGAAACAGGGTCCCCCATAGCAGGCTGGGGACAGGAGCATGGACACTTGCCCTCTCCTGCCTCCCTGCATCAACTGTTCCCTTCTACTCCACAGAGAGGGGACACAGTGCCTCTGCCATGCCACATCCCCTTCCTGCCTATCCATCCCAGCTCCAAGCCCCGGCCTGCCCCAGTGTGTCCCCACTTGTGCTCAGGACTCACCCCCACAGTGATGGTGACGTTCACCAAGGTGCTGAGCTGTGGTGTGCCATGGTCATACACCTCCACCGTCACCACCATCTGCCCCCGCTCATCTTCCAAGGCCTCACGGTCCAGCGGCTCCTTGCTGTGCATCTCACCTGTGGCTGCATCTATGGTGAAGTTGTCACTGAATGGTCCTGGCAGGATCTTGAAGCCCACTTCACTGTTGGGGTTGCCAGGCTCGTCGTTGTCAATGGCCTGAAAAGGCGAGCAGTTGGAACATGGCTGTCCCTGCTCCTCTCCAACAGCCCCCTGTCACCTCTGTCTGTGCATACCTGGATCTGTGTGCTGATGTTCAGCCCCTCTTCCACGGAGATGAAGTAGGAGCCAATGACTATGGGTGGGTTGTCGTTGTCGTCCAGCACGGTGATCTCCAGCACCGTGGTGCCCACCAGGTTGCCCCCATCCTTGGCCTGGAGGTTTGCATAGTAGATGGAGCGAGTCTCCCGGTCCAGCAAGCTCCCGTTCCGCACCAGCACTGCCCCGGTCGTGGCATTAACCATGAAGGTGTTACGGCTATGGCATACACAGAGACATCACCGGGGCTCAGACCCCTTGCCAGGACAGTGCCCTGGTTGTGGCTGGCTGTGCCCCTACGTACATGCTCTCTGGGAGCAGCTGGTAGGTGATCTGGCCCAGGACACCGCTGTCTGGATCGTAGGCCTGAAAGAGAGAAGGAAGCATCTGCCTCAGCCGCCAGAGCAGTGGTGAATCTGGGGTGCCAACCATGGGAAGGAGCACCCTAAAAACACACGGAGAGGCCAGTGCCCTCAATGCAAGCTGCACTAGTGGGACCAGGCATGCTCAGCACCCTGCTTGGGGGGTGTAAGCTCTGCCCACCCCCTGCCCAGTGCCTGACCGTGATGTTTGGGGAGATGATGGTGCCGTCAGGGCTGTTCTCCATCACGCTCAGGGTGTAGATGCTCTGGGGGAACTCAGGGATGTGATCGTTGCTGTCAATGAGTTCGATGGTCACGGTGGCTGTGGAGCAGCAGTTTGTGGGGTTCCCCGTGTCATTAGCAACAATCTGCAGGACAGAGAAGGAACAGTGTCTCACATGGGTCCCTGAGCATGAGAAACAGACATGTCACACTCCAGCCCAACTGCCCTTGCACTGAAGAAGCTGTCAGGGCACAGCCACGTTCTGCTTTGACTTTTGAACCCTGCTGCACCCTGGCATATGCAAGGAGCAAGAACTGTCCCCAGGGTTAGCCAGCCCTGTGGGTCTCACCTGCACCACCATGACATGGCTTATCTCATAGTCCACAGCGGCCGGGTCTTGCACCAGGATCTGGACCTCCCCTGTGCCCATGATATTGGTGGGGGAGACGGAGAAGGCACTGGCATTTGGACCTCGCAGGTACAGCTTGTAATTGCTGTTGATGCCCTGCAGGGGAGAGACACACAGGAGTGAGGGTGCACAAACTCCTGCACCCCAGCCCAGCCTCCTGGATGGACTCCCACCTTGTCTGGGTCATGGGCGACGATGCTGAGGTTGGACACGGGCAGCCTGGAGGAGGAGTGCTCTATGATGGTGCCCGTGAAGTTGCTCTGGGCATCAGTGGAGAAGTTGCAGCTCAGGAGGGAGCAGTTGTAGAACTGGGGCTTGTTGTCATTGACATCGATCACCGTGACTGTCACCAGGGTGCTGGCCTGGGCCACCTTGCCGTAGATGTCCAGGTTCTTCTCACGTGCCTGGGCAGGAGGAGAGAAAGGCTTGGAGGGGCCCAGGCAGAGGAAAAGGATGGGGTTCCCCTTGCTGCCTCCTACTCACCCTGACTTCCAGCAGCACTTCCTCACTTGGTAGCTGCTCACGGTCCAGGGGCGCACTCACAGTGATGGTGCCCATCGTGGCATTGATAGCAAAGGGGATGCTGGTATCTATGGCAAGGGGACAGCAGGAACCCGCTACAGCCACTGGAAATACAGGCCTGACCTCTCTCTGCCAGCAAGGGCAGGCTGGCAGTGCCTGGGAGTCCAGAATCATTCCCTGTGGTGCCCCTTGTTTCCTGATCCCCCACCCTGCCACTGCTCACCCCCTGCCCATGCTGCCCTGCCCCATCACTCACTGGTGATGCTGTAGAAGATTTCATCATTCACCCCCGTGTCTCTGTCCATGGCAGTGACGGTCAGCACACTGGTGCCCTGCAGGGACATGGCCATCAGGGCAGGACCTACAATGTCTCCAGGCACCCCTGTGCTTGGTGGCCCAGACACTCTGGGGACATGCCACTGTGGCCAGCAGGCTCCTTACCAGGTCACAGTTCTCAGGCACGGAGCCAAAATAGGGCTCATTGAGGAACCGTGGGTCCAGGTTGGGCACGTCAATGATGGTCAGGGACAGGTAGGCTGAGCTGTTCTGGAAGACCATCACGTTGTGCAGCAACCCCCCGCCATCCTGGGGACCAGAGCACCATTAGTCCTATGGCCCCCTTACCTGGCGGCTCCGCACCCTCAGCCTGGCTGTTCCCCACCTTGGCGAGGATCTTGATCTGGTAGAAGGTGTTCCTGGCATAGTCCAGTGAGCCATTGAGCACCACATTCCCATTGGGCCGGATGTAGAAGAGCCAGTAATTGCTTGCGTTGTCTGGGATCACCTGAGCAGGGAACATCCCTCTGTGTCACCAAGGCAGGGAGCAGAGGTGCCCCAGCAGAGATGCAGGCTCAGTCTTGGCCCCTACATCTCCACATTGCAACTGATCAGCCCAGAGAGCACAGAACCAGCCCTCCCTGACCCAACACACCTCTCCCCCAGAGCCATGGGGCTGGCCCTGGCCAGGTCACCCAGCACCTCTGCTCCATGGCAGTGGCATGGGATACAGCATGCCCCACTCTGCAGTGTGCTGTGCTCACCTCCTCAATGCTGTAGCTGACTTTGGAGGCATTTCCAGTGTCACTGTCATTGGCAAACACAGTGTAGATGATGCTGTCCAATGTCGTGTTCTGAGCACACGGCGGGGTGGTGGTGGCATTGCGCAGGAGAGCAGAGGGGGTGAGATCAGGGGTGGGGGTACTGAGCCTGGACCTGCCAGCCCTGCTCTGTGGTGCTCTGGCCCCGCAGGGCTCCAGGGGCTGCCCAGTGCTGTCGGACTCTCAGGGGTGAGCTGCTGCCTTTGCTCATACTGGGCAGAGGATGGATCCCCCCTTGCCACCCTCCCTAGGTGAGTCCCTCAGCCCATCTGCACCCTGATCCACCTCACCCTGGCCTGGCCTGGCCTGAACCAGGCACTCCCTGATCAGAAACTCATCACAAGGGCAGAGTCCCAGCCAGGCACTGACGTCTCGGATTGGGGTGGAGCGTTGTGTGTTATGCCCCACGCCCAGGCACAGCATCATACCTGGGTATGGGTTCGCCTGTTCCCTGCACACTGGTGTCCTGCTGCCAGCACACCCATGCCACAGGAGTCACCCAGCACCCCTGCCCTGCTGCCTGGGGACACTGGGGGTCCCAAGGAGGTACCTCGGGGATGGAGGCTTCATATGGCAGGTTCTGGAACACTGGAGCATTGTCGTTACGGTCATCAACGATGACGGTGAGTTTTCTGGAGACCTACCAGGAGTCAGGGAGGGGATGGGATGGGTGCATGAGATGGCACCCAGCACCCACTCTGGCCCCAAAGCCAGCAGCATCACCCACCCCTGGCCAAAGCCCACCTCAGCCCTTTCCCCACCAAGTCTTGTCAACAGCCCCACTGAGACCCTGCTCCCATCCCCATCACCCGCTGCAGCCCCCAGCCCGTGCCCCAGCACTCACTGCATTGTTTATCCCATCAGACACTTCGACGGTGATGGTGAGCTTGGCCTTGACCTAGGGGACACAAGGCAGGACGTGGTCAGGGACAGGAGGAGCTCAGTCCTTGGCCAACGGAGCCCTAACACCCAGCCACCCATCACCCCTGGGTTGCACGCTGCTCCCAGGCAGCTCTTCCCCATGGAGCTGGTCTTTGGGGCCAGGGAGTGACCCACAGGAGCTGCCATGAGCAGCTCCCCCACAGGACTCAAGGCTCTGCCTCCATCCCAGTCACCCCAGACCCCCCAGCTCAGTCTCTGCCCTCACCTCACGATCCAGGGAGTTCTTCAGTGTTGCAATGCCTGTCTGGGCATTGACGGAGAAGTAGAAGGCATCCTCCCCGCTGATGCTGTAGGTGAGCGGGTCCCCGTCTATGTCAGTCGCTGTCAGCTGGAAAGCCTCCTGGCCTGGGGGCACAGGCAGGGTCAGCCTCTGCCCAAGGACCCTCGGCCACTCCTCTTGCACCCCAGGGCCTTCCCAAGGCTGCCCCACTCACCCAGCTCCAGGTCCTCGGGCACATGGACGATCGTCATGTTGAAGAAGGGGACTGTGTTGCCTGAAACTACAAGCAGGAGGTGTGTGAGCACCCACGTTTGTGCCCTGCTCTTCCTTACACCCCGCACCCCCATATCCACCTATCCCCAACCCGAGTCCCAGCTGCAGTTTGGGTCTCCAGAGAAGGCAAGGGACACACAACCTTCCTCATGCTCATCCCACACCTCCCACCTCCAGACCATGCTTGTTCTCCAGCTGCGGCACCCGTGCTGGATGCTATCCCCATTCCCCCCTGTCCCCTCTGTCTTTCCGTGGGGTAGCAAGGTTGCCAATGACTCTCCAAGGCGCCAGTGGAGCGGGCAGCTCTTCTGGGGGTCCCAGCTGCCCTCACAACAAGTGCTGGGGGCTGAAAGCACTTCTAACACCCCCCATCCAACCCTGCACCCCACTGAGCAAACCCTCACCTGCTGACAGGAGAAAGGGAAGCACCACCAGCGATCGCCATCCCATCCTGCCAGCAAGCCTGTGGGCACAACCAGAGAATGAGCACCAGGGGCTGAGTGCCCCTGCTCCCAGCAGCCACCCTGGGGAGAGGCCACTGGGATAGGAGGGACCCTGCTGGGGCTGTCACCTCTGCTGAGCCAGGCTGGTGCTGAGCACCATGCTCCACGCTGTACCCATGGGCACAGGCTTCTTGAGGACATGGAATGGGGGGGACAGGGCTGGCCTCCATGTGCTGGAGACCATGGGGGTGCTTGGGGAACCCAGGAGCCTCTCCTGGGCATGGCTGGAGGCCCCATTGCTCCATGGGGCCAAAGCAATGTTTAGAGCCCAAGAGCAATCTGTGACAGCACCTTGGTGTCCCCCTCCTTGTGCCACGGGTACCACTGCTGACAGATACCCCCGCCGACAGGTACCCCCATCTCCCACCACAATGGACCACAGCACCCGTGGGGGACCATGCCCAGGCTGACATCTCTTACCTGTGGCCCCGTCACTGGGGATGCTGCTGGCGGGGCTGCTCGGCGCTCGCACCTTGACACTGACAGAGACCTTTGCCTCCTGCAGTAAACAAGTTCATCAATTATTAACTGCAATTAGGGGGTGACAAATCCCTCCCTCACCTTTCTCATTGCTTGTGCTCACTTCCAGTTCCTACCCAGCCCAGCCCCACACTCTCTCCCCAGCCCCAGCCTCCCAAGGAGGGTGCCTTCCCCCAGGATTCAGCCATCCCCATCTTCACTGACGGCACTCTGCCTCCCAGGAGGGATAAAGAGCCTGGGGGGATGCGGAGGGATCCTGAACCACCCCAGGGGACTGGAGAGGAGCTGGGGAAATGCCCTGCATCCCCTGGGCGGGGGACACTGGGGTCTCACCAGGACAAGGGGTGGGCACCAACCCAGTGGTGCAGCTCCTGGGGTGAGTTCCTGGAGCCCTCTGCACCCCGCTGCCAGCCTCTCTCCTCCCTGGGGGCTCGGCCCAGCCTCCCTGACCTACTTTGGACCCACTGGGGACAAGGGCGAATTGTGCAGCTCCACTCAGGCAGAAGAGGTCTGGGATGTGGCGGAGGGGCACAGACATCCCTGGGCCTGTGGGACCCCCACCTCCATTACCCTGGTCCCCAAACCCCTATTCCCTGGGGAACCTGTGGGGTCTGGATGCCCAGGAAGCTCTGTGATCCCCCCCCAGACACCCTGCATGCTCCGGTTTCCCCATCTCACCTCACTACTGGGTCAGGCACCCCCCAGAGAAAGGGTACAGGGGGCCAGCCTGGCGCCCTGTGCCAGCAAACCCCTCCAGGACTGCTCCAGGCTCGTTCAGTCCGTGTGAAGGACACCCCACAGACACCCCATTGGCTGCTGGGGACACCCCTGGAGCCCCTCAGGGCTGTCCCATGATGACAGGGGAGGCCCCTGAGCCTCCCGGTGATGGCGCTGGGCACCCCTCTGCGCACTGCCCCCATCTGTCCCAGTGTACCCCCGTGAGCTGTCCAGGGGCATCTTCCCCAGCACAGCCTGGCCCTGCCCGGTTCGGCTTCACACTTCTTGGCTCAGCCCGGCTGGCTCGGCTCAGCCCGCCACGGCTCGGCCCGGCTCGGCTCGGCTCGGCTCGGCACGGAACGGCACGGCTCGGCTCGGCACGGCTCGGCACGGCTCGGCACGGCACGGCTCGGCTCGGCTCGCACTGCTCGGCTCGCACTGCCCGGCTCGCACGGCTCGGCTCGCACTGCCCGGCTCGCGCTGCTCGGCGCGTTGCTGTGCGCTGCCGCTCGGAGCATTACGGCCGCGCGGTTCGTGTGGCGCCGCTCTTGGCCGCAGTACGGCGGAACGGGGCGGGCCCCCATCGGCGCGGCCGGTTCCATCGGGGCGGCGGGCGCGGGGGCGCCATGAGGCGGGGCTGAAGCCGGGCTGAGGCCGGAGCGGGAGCGGCACCGGGACGGACTCCGAGCCCGGCGGGCCCGGCCGCCGCGCCATGCGAGCGGGCTGAGCGGCGAGCAGGGCCGCGGCAGGCACCGAGCGGCCCGCGAACGCCGAGGGAAGCGCCGCCGGTAGGTTCGGGGCGAGGCGGTGGCCGCAGGCCTGGGCTGCGTGGGGCAGGGCCGGTGCACCGGGAAATAGGCGGCGGGTAGGGCCTGGGGCTTGCGGGAGGAGCAGGTGCGGAAAGGCGGGGAGCCTGACCCCGGTGCACCGGGGGAGGGCAGCGGGCAGGGGCCGGTGCGAGAGGGGCGGATGCTGGAGCGTGCGAAGCCCACTGCGGCGGGCGGAGGAGCGAGTGGGGCCCGGTGCGCGGCGGGCTCCGGTGCGGAGGTTCGGAGGGGGCGGATGGCCGGGGCAGGCGGGGTCCGGTGCGCCGGGGCCGGGGCCGGGGCCTAGCTCAGCCCTTGATGGGGGGGGTGTGATGGCTGAGAGGGGCACCGGGGCCGTAAAGGGCAGCCGGGCCCGTTGCACCGGCGGCCACACGGCGGTGGGAGGAGTCCCCGGTTCTCGGGGAGCCCCTTCTGGGAGGCGGCTGCCTGGGACATCGGGTAGGGCGGCGGAACGGGAGCCCTGCCGCCCCTCGGGGCCTTGCCAGCAGAGCGGGGGTTGCCCCGGCCGTAGCCGCGTCTCGGGGGGCTCCCGCGTTCCCCGGCCGCGCCTGAGCCGGTGGCTGCGGCCGAGGCCGGTTCTGCGGCCCCGGGTGCCCCGTCCGCCGCTGCCGGAGCCCCAGGCCCCCTTTCCTGCCCCGGGTTCGGTGGACAGGGCCGGGCTTGGGGCGAGACCCCGGGCGTGCGGGAGGGGAAGTGGCTGAACTCTGCAGGAAGTTGTAGACGGGAAAGAGGTAGGAAAGGGATGAGCCCCGAGCGACAGGGGGTGGGGGTGGCACCGAGGCCGTGGGACAGGGGAGACCCCTGTGTGGGGCCGCAGCAGCCGGGTACTGCAGAGGGTGTATGGGGCCGGGCTGTGCGCAGCTGGGGTGTGCTCCAGGGTTTGCTTTCCTGGGCAGAGGTTGAGCCTGGCGGGCAGCCTGTGGCCAGGCTGGTGCTGCCCTTCCAGATGGGGACAGTCCCTACGAGTGTGGCTCGGTTTTGTGCTGGCATCTCGGGCACAAGCTCCGCATGGCTCCGTGCTCCAGCACAGCTGGAGCAGCTCTGGAGCGTGTCCCTGTGCTCCCCTCCTCACTCTCCTGTGTCACTGCCTCGCTCAGTTCCTTTGCCACCTTCACCCGCTTCTGTTCTGCTGCTGGCTCGGGCTCCCCAGGACCCTGGCTCTCACCCCGGGGAGATGCGCAGGGCAAAGCCCAGGGGGAACAGGTCAGTCCCCAGGGCCCGGAGCCCCGGAGGAGCAGCGGGCGCCGGCCGTGGCGGCGGTCGGTCGGAGGGGAGCTGCGTCTGATGTCACTGCGGTGCATGGTGGGTAATTATGCACGTTGCAATGAAAATAATAAGGCCGGCTCCATAGTGGTGTCTAAAAATACTGCTAATGCAGAGCGCCTGCTGGGTGCCTTTGTTTGTCACCTATGGGTGTTTGCTTCGAGGCCGGCCCGGCAGTGGGAGCTGCTCTGCGGCGTCAGGTCCCTGGGGCAGTGGGTTTGGTTTAGAAGGTGAGCTGCGGTCCCTCAGCACCCCTCTGCATTGGGCAGTGGAGCTGGGGCAGGTACGGCTACCGGAGGTGAGGTGGGAGCCACTTGGATGTGATTGAGAGGCTCTGCTGTCACCCCCCTGCATGCTGCCATGCACACAGTTGCAGGGGGTGGTGTGGCTTTGTCTCCCCCAGCCTTACTTGGAGCTTGGTGCTCTGACTAGTGGCTAATTCCTGCATCATAACGATGATCTTGGAATGGTACCAGTGTGCTGGCCTGCCTACAGGAGAGTGGGTCTAGATGAGGGTTCAGGCCCAGGTCGTGTGGTCTGTCACTGGCATTATGGGACTGCCCCTGCGAAGTGTCCTGGCACCAGCAGGCAGGGATCTTGCCCTTTCTGGCTGAGCAGAGGTGGGAGGGAGGGATGTGTGTCTGTAGCAGAGGGAGTTGGTGTGATGGGTGCTGCCCCAGTGTGCTGAGCTCCACTCTGTGGGCAGGCGGGCGCTCTGCTCTGCCTGGCCGCTGCCTGTGCAGCTCTTGCTGCTGCTGTGGGCCCTCCATCTGCTGCCAGGAGCTGGAAGCTCCCCGCTGCAGCCCAGGGAGAGCCTTGCAGGGGTGGTGAGAGCCATCTGGAGCCCCGGCTGCTACAGCCACCGGCCTGGCAGACTGGCGGGGACAAGGCGGTGAGTGGCAGGGCAGCAGTGGAGAGCTGGGAAGGGCAGGACATGGTGAGTGTGCGTTTGGGAGTGGGGAGGTTGGAATGGTGGTGAATGCTCTGGGTTCCCAGTGGTGCTTGGAGGGGCTGCAAGAGCAGAGCCTTGTCCCTCCTCACCTTGGAGTGAATGGAGAGATGTCTCCCAGCCCACATGCTGCCTCACCTTTAGGGTCGTGGCTGTGTTTCTGGGGCTTCATGCTTGGCCCTCCTTTCATTGGAGGGGAAGCATCACCACTGCTTCAGCTCTTGCCAGGTGCTAAATCTGACCTCTGAAGCCCCCACACATGGCAGCAGCGTTCCCTGGAACAGTGAAACACGCTGTCCCTACCTGCTGTGCTGTGTGGGTCCCCTCTGGTGCGTGAGGAACAAAGGCTGAGGAGAGGAGACTTTGTGAGTCCCCATTGATTCGCGTGGTGGAAGCTGCCCGCTGTGTGTTTGCGTCTGCCTGCCTGGGACCGGGGCTCTGTGAGGGGCATTGATCAAGCTGTAAAACCCAGAGCCAGCTAATGAAATAGGGACTATAGATTTTTGTTTTAAATGGAAGAGAGTTTAGGGGAGATTTAATTATCCCTGGTTTATGGACCCGTTAGAGGAATGAAATAGCAGCTGGCAGGTAGGGCCCATGCTTCAGCTCCCAGCACTTCTTCCAGGTGTCTGCAGGGCTGGTGAAGTCCTGTCACCCCAGGGCCGTGATGGGGAGTGAAGTCACTGGGAGCAGAGCAGGATGGGGTGAAGCCCTGCTTGTCCTGCCAGGTATCCCTGTGTCCTCAGTGCTCATACAGCAGAGGGACTGGCGCTGGGGTGGTGGGCTCCCAGCTGAGCAGGGGCTGCTGTAGGAAGAGCTCCCCTCATCCCCAGAGCTTGGTGTGGGCCTTGCGCTGGTGGACATCGGGGTGTCCAGGAGCCCCATGCTCGCTGGGCTGTCTCCATCCAGGTGTGCTTTCCCCGGGGCCGTGGGCACTGAGCTCTTGCTACCTGCGCAGAGTGTGTGGGGTTTGTGAATGAGAGCTGGGGCTCGCTGGGCTTCGTTGTGTGTCGGACACAAGCTCTAACACTGTCACTGCAGCACTCCTCCTGTGTGCATCCACTTCACTGTCACGTGAGGCCACAGGGCACGGCTGGGGTGGTGCTGCTGGGGTTGGCAGGAGAGCGTGGAGCTTTTGGATGCTTTTGGGTTTTAATCTCTGAATTGAGGAGCTGGTCCATGGTGTTTTCCCACCATCCCTCAGCTCCCTGCTTGGGGTGAGCTGGAGAAACACGGTTTGACACCTGCCCAGTGCAGGGGAATGGTTGGCCAGGGGGTCTGCATATAATCCATGGGGTGTCAGTCTGATGCATCCAGAGGCTGCTAAATCATTGAGGAAGCTGCTGGTGCCCTCCCAGAGCCCTCTGACATTGGCATGGCAGGAATTTGGGAGAGCCAGTCCCTGAGCCCTGTAATCACAGAGAGCTGCATGAGAATGTTGGGTGGCTCCAGGTCAGTTCTGGACGAGAGCAGTGTGGGTCCATGCTGGCAGCTCACAGGGGTGCTGGGGGTAGCCAGCCTGCCCGCTCTCTCAGCAGCAGATTCACCCCAGGGCACTTATCCTTTCCAGCTGTGTGCATGGCAAAGGGTAAGGCGAGCAGTGTCCCCAGCAAGCAGCACTCGTGACAGGCCTTGGGAATACTATTTCAGCTGCAGCCTGGTCCCTGGAGACCTGGCCTTGCTGGCTGTGGAGATGTGGCTGTGGGCTTTCCTTGGCTACCCTGGGAAGCAGGACAAGGGATTCCAGCTCAGCCGTGGCCTGCAGTGGTGTGTGTTAGCAGCTGCTTCCTCTCAGGTGAGCCTGTGTGGTGGTGCCAAGGGCTCCAGCACCTCTTGCTGTCACCTCTGGGAAGGGAGGGCTCATGCTCTGGTCCTTCTTCCCCTCAGCCTGGCGGTGCTGAGCTGTGGTCCCCTCGGGCAGGTTGTCTTTTCCCTGCTGTGCTGCTGGGGCTCTCTGCCTGTGTGTGCATTTTGAGCCGAGTGTCTTTGTTGCTTTTCTGTCCATGCCTGTGCTTTGGGGAAGTGGTGAACAATAAAGATCTGCCGTGGAGAGCTGTAGCAGAGGTCAGCCAGCTCCTATGCCTCAGGCTGCTCTGCTGTCACTGCACAGTTGCGCTTTGTGCACAGGGGCTGTCAGCTTGGAAGTCATGGTTTTTTGCTCTTAAAACCGTCCCCAGGCACTGGTGTGGGGTTCTCTGTGAGTGATGTACTGGGGAGGTATTGCAGCGAGCCCCCGTCATGTTTAAGGCTGTGGTCACTGCCTGTTTCGGTGCATCTGGTAAGCAGCCTGTTGGTAAATGTCATATTAAGGACAAAAGAGGGTAAATGGTTGCTGGAAATGAGGAATTTCTCTGAGCTCCTTTGTGAGAATGCTCGTTGCAGGTTGTCAGTGTCCTTGCAGGCTTCGTAAAATGCAAAGCAAAACACCCAGCCCAACTTCCTGACCATCACTGGTGCTTCCAAGAGAAGCTTCGTGTTACTGGGCAGTAACGAGATTGCTCCTCACTGTCCACCAACTTCTGGCTCTGCTGTATCCTTTCTCTGGAGCCACCCCTCCAGCCACTGCTGCTCTGCCTGAGCCCAGCCTGCGGGGAAGGTGTCTGCAGCCCAGCCCCTCCTGCCCTCGCTGCTTGCTTGGCAGATGCTAACCCAGTCCGCAGCATGTGGAGAGTGGGCAGGACTCGGAGGGATTCTTGTGGAGAGGTGGCAGGTGAGCTGGGGACATCCAGGGATGCTGTGTGGGGAGAGGGAAGGGGCTGAATCCCTGCTGCCTGGGCTGGCTATGCTCAAGGAGAGAGTTAGGTCTGTTTTTAGGAAAGAGGTGTGTGAAAAGAGAACTAAAACGTGAAGGACAAAGGAGGATGGAGTCCTGAACCGCGGTGTCTTGTGGTAGGAAGGAAGGGGAGGACCAGGAAGGCTGCCCAGGCAACAGGTTGGGGATGGACATGGCAGCATTTGTTCCCCCCTCTCCCCCCACCCGCAGCTGAGCTGTGGAACCGATGCTGCAGGATGCTGGGACAGACAGAGGTGAGCGTGGTTCATGCGCTGTTACGGGGGGAGAAGAGTCCATCCAGGAGAGCAGAGGACATGACCCATTGTTTGATGCCACTGAGCTACACAGGGACCTGAGCTGGGCCCGGCTGCTGCACCAGCAGCCTTCTGGTCAAGCTATTCAGGTAGTGCTAGTGTTTCTAGGGCAAACAAAGGAAGGTGGAGATACCTCTCTAGATTATTTACCCTGTCTTGAGGAAGCGAAGGCTTGTGCAAGCTTAGTGTTTGTTTGCAAGTCTTCTCCTTTCTGCTTTGAACTTGCTGGATGGTGTCAGGTGTGGCATGTGTCTCCAAGGCCTTAGCTTGCTACACATTTTGGTTCTTGTGGAGGAAGATGCTGCTAGTTCTCCCTCTGCAGTGCAGCTCAGCCGTGCTATTAGACATCAGAGAATCCACGTGGGAGAGATCGACAGGAAACTGGGCGTTATCAGTTCCGCTGCCTGTGCAGCTACTCGCTCCTCATGTCAGCATCCTCCACGTGTGTGGCTGGAGGCGTTTGATGGGAGTGCTGTCAGCCCGGGGGTGGCAGTGGGAGGCGTGTGATCGCGGCAGAGGCGTCCTGCCTCGGCTGCTCAGGGCTGTGCTGTGCGGCGCAGGGAGGGAGAGCCTCACCCCCCCCTGCTTCACCCTGTGCTACCTGCTCATCCTGCGGTGTCCCATGGACCCTGGGGCTTGTGTTGGGCCTTGGGCAGAGCAGGGACATTTCTTCTGCTCTCCCCTGCAGCCTTCTGGGTTCTTGGTGCTGCTTTCTCCCCGCTTGTTTTCGAGGCACTGGGGAGGGGAGGATTAGGGCCTCTTGCTCTCTCTGCACTTGGGAAAAGGCTGGGGGGAACATGGAGGTGAGCTGTGGCATGCTGGGTGTTGGGGAGAGGATGGGGCAGAGCATACCTCCAGTGAGAACTGTGCTCAACACCACTCACATCACCCCAGCTAATCCTGTGACAGACCTGACCTATATATGGGGCAGGGGAGGCGACATGTCTGTGGCAGCAGATGGTGTCTTAAAGAGCCTGGGCTCGGGGAGGCTTCGATCCTGCTGGCCCCTGGCTCTCATGAGGGAAAGGATGGGCTGCCCGTTGGCTAGAGAGCAGCCAGATTCAGCTTGAGCAGCCCTTGCAAGTCGAGAGCTTTCTAAGGCTGTCTGGCATGGGGGGGTTCTGCTCACTTGGGATGTCGCAGGTTTCGGGAGCTGGACTGGGGACACCTTATGCTGGCCTAGAAGCACTGACCAGTGCTGCTGTATTGGTGTAGCATCAGAGGGGCATCACGTGGGCTCCTCACACAGCTCTTCCAGCCAGAGATCCCAGACCTGGGGCAGTGTGATGCTGGTGCCTGTTCCCAAGAGCATGTGAGCTGACCCTTCCCACATGCTGTAGCCCTGTGGCTGGATGTGCGGTGCCCCATCCTCACTGGAGCTGGCAAGGCAGGCTCGGCATGGCTGCACGTGGTGTGGCTGGACCTGGCTTTGCCACTGGGACTGTGCAGCCTGGCTGGGCAGGGAGCACAGGGAGGTGAGCTGTGCTTCACTGACGGCTTCTCCTGCTGCCATCCCGAAGCCATCTACAGCTGCTGGCCGTGGGGGAGCTGGTGATGCTGGAGTGGTCTGCTCAGGCATCCACCATCTATGGCCTCTGCCTGCTGATGGTGCTCTGCCCAGGATCAGACCATGTCCTGGTAGCCTTGCAAAGGTGCAGTGCTTGCCTCTGCCCACAGTGACAAGGTCAAAGTGCAGAGTGCTGTTTTCCTCCTTTTCCCTCTAATCTCAAGCTCTTGAAGCAAAGAGGCTGTAGTGGTGCACACATTTGGGGTGATTGTTCAGGTCTGGGCTGATGCCTGAGTCCTTTGGCTGTTTTTGCCCATGGTGCACATGTCTCTGGACCCCATCATAGGGTCTGCATGATACCCTGGCATGCTGCTTTCCTGTCCTGTGTGACCCTACCCGGGGGACAGAAGCAGTTGGCTGTGGTGCTGTTGACAATCGTGGCAGATAGAGCTGGGCACGGGGTTGGGATGGGGCAAACCAGACACCCAACTGCTCATGGCAATGATGAGCCTGCTGAATCATTAAATTGTTGCCAGGGATCTGAGGTTTTCTTTGAAAGGGGTGATGTTACAAATTAATTAGCTCCCTTTCTGTTGGTAGCACTTTAAAGCCCAGCTGTCAGGGGAGGGCTGGTTTATAGGCATTACATCAGGGCTGCCGGCTGGCTGGGAAATGTCTAAGTGTGCGTTTTAACACGGGGAAGTTTGCCTTGGATGCAGCATCTGGCTCTCGGCAGAGCTGCTGCGATGTGCTCTCCTCAGCACAGGGGTTGGATTGCGGTGCTGCCCGGGGCACAGCCTCGGTGTACGGCTCCCGGTGTTGCTCTGCTCGCTTGCAGGGGATGCTCTGAGGGGTTCCTGCTCTTTGTTTAGTCGAGGGGAGAGAGCGGGAGGCTTTTCTGGAGCAAAGGGGGCTTTTCTGGTGCCTGGAAGCTTGAACTGTGTAGAGATACCGTGGGAGAGCTGCGTGTGCCTGGCAGGCGGTGGGTGCAGGCGAGGTCTCAGTGTGCTGGGTGGGATGGGGACAGCTTCTCCATGCTCCCATGCCGGTGAGGAGGGTGATGGGGAGCCGAGCTCCTGCCTTCACTTTCCCACCCACCTGGCAGCAGGAGCATGGCATAGGCTGCCCGGGCACACGGTGCTGCTGTCCCCGTGGCCCACCGGGCTCACGGAGCTGCTGAGACCTAGTGGGCCGGGAGCGATGGCAGCGGCGGGACAGACCGCAGGTAAGGTGCCCCCGCGGTGCCCGTCCCAGCGGTACCGGGGCCGGTGCGCGGTGCTCCCGCTCGCCCCGGAGGGGGGGGCGGTCCTGCGGGGCCGGCCCCGTTGCTACGGGCCCCCTCTCCATGGAGACCGTTGCTAAGACACCGCCCCCCCGGGGGGGGGGGGAGAACCCGGCGCTGCCCCGCGTGGCGGCCCGGCCCCGCGCTTCCAAGATGGCTGCGGAGCGTGACACGCCTGGTCACGTGGGGAGCGCGCGCACCGCCTTCCCCCCCCCCCCCCCAACCCCCCGCATCCTCAACCCTCCCGCCAGCCGCGCGCGCGCCCCCGGGGCCTCCGAGTGTTGTGACTCGGTCCGGTGCGTTCCGCTCCCGCCGTCGGTTCTTAAAGGGACAGGCACCCCCGCCACCCCCGGCCCCGCCGCGCCTGCCCCGGCCCCGCCACGGTGGCCCCGCCGCGGAAAACAAAGAGGCACCGGAAACAGCGGCGGCGGGGAGGGGGCCGGCCCGGCGGGAGGCGGGCGGGAGGGAGGGTGGGAGGGGAGGGAGGGCCGGCGGCGGGGGGGGGGGGGCAGGCCCGGGCCCGGCGTCGGTGAACAAAGAGCGGCAAGAGGGGGCGGGGGCGCCGCAGCGGCACCGGAGCTGCGGCCCAGGCCATCGGTGCAGGTAGGTGCGGGCGGCGGCGGGAGCGCGGCGGGGACCTACCCTGGGAACCCCGGCGGCACCTGCCCCGGGCGGCGGCAGCGGGGCCCGGCGGCCGCCTTTGTTATTGCTTTTGTTTGGCGCCGAGCACATGGCCCCGGAGCGGCCGCTCTTAAAGCCACAGCTCCCGGCCCGGCACCGGCGGGGCTCCGCTGCTGCGGCGGGGGGCGCGGGCTGCCGGCGGGGCTGAGCGCTGGGGTGCTGCTGGCTTCGGTGCCCCGGCGGGCTGCTGGGATGTGCCGCCGTCCCGGAAACCGCCGGGGCTGGGGTCGGGGCAGCGGGGCGTCCCGGCCCTCAGGGGGGCTGCCGGTGCGGCGGTGCCAGCGGAGACCCCGCTCCCGGGGGTGTTGGCGGGGCAAGGAGGTGCGGGGGAGCCCGGAGCGCACGGACGGAGCCGGAGCCGTGGGGTAGCGGGCGGCAGGACCCTCGGGGAGGCGGCGGCGGGGCGGGCGGCTCCCCCGGAGCCCGGTGCTGCCCGAGCAGATGGCACCGGGCGTGAGCGCTGGCGCGCTGCTAACTTTGTTCTCGGCGGGGCCCGGGAGCCGCCTCGCCCCCCGCCGCACCGAGCGCTCCCCTTCGTCCCCGGGCTGGCTGCGGGTGCGAGGAGGCAGCCGCGTGTGCGCCATGTGGGTGCGGGTTGGGGCGGGACGCGGCGATGTCCCACTCGGGGTGCCGTGCTGGGACCCCCGGCATGGCTTTAATGTCCCCTGTGTGGAGATAGGCACTTCCCGTCCCCGAGCCCATCATTGTGATGTCTGGTCTGGAAGGTGCCCCGGTACCACGTGTGCTCCGAGAGTGAGGATGTGAAACTGAAGCAGCAACACCTCGGAGGCTCCTGGGGAGTGGGGTTAACCCTGGAGCACCGCTGCAACACCTCGGCCCCAACTACTGGCACAGGGCACATGGACAGGAGTTTGGGGGCAGAATAAAGCACTGTGGGGCAAACCCCACCCCTGAGTGCAGCCCCTTCCCCAGCAGCACCCCAGGCAGGTTCCATGGGGGCCTCAGCGTGTGGATTTTGGGGTCCCTCCCCAAAACAACAGAGAGAAGAATCTGCTCTCAGCTTTCAGCATGGTTTGGTAGGTGGGTGTGAGGTTGAGACCCCTCTGTGTGGTACAGGGCTCGCTCCGGTGACTTTCTGCCATGCTTGGTGTGATGCATGTCACCCAGATGTGATGTTGTGGCTTCTCCCTGCTGGGCTGAGACCCCCCCAGCCTCCTCCTGGGGCTGAGCAATGCTCCCTGTGCTCAGGGTGCCCTTCCTGGCCCTGGTGTGCCTCTGCCCTGTGCACTGAGGAGGAGGATGTGGAATGAAGGAGCTGCTTTGGGAGGGCACCAGCAGCCTGCAGGCGGGCAGGGTTTAGGGGTGTATGGATTGCAGTGCCAAGGCCATGGCTGTGGAGGTCAAGCGGTGCTGGCAGGGGAGCAGCAGGAGCATGCCTGGGGGGGGGGGGTTGGACACATGGGGCAACGCAGCCTCCCCATGCAGATGTGCCCTGTGTGCACTGCCAGGCTTCCCTGGGGCTGTGTGCCCACTGACCCCTGCTGGTGGGGTTAGGGTTAGGGTTAGGGTTGCCTGCCCCGCTCTAGCTACAGCCTGTCCCTATGCCCCTCCATGGGGATGTGTGGTTCTGCCCTGGATGCAGCAGGGTTGATATGGACAGACTGAGCCAGAGCAGAGCCGTGAGCCCTGCTGTCCGCCTGTGCCTGTCACTGGGGTAGCAGCATCAGTCCGGAGCGGCAAGCTCTGGAGCGCAGCAAGGGAGAGCAGCCCCTAGAGCAGCACTGGAGCCTGGCTTGGCCTAGCATATGCTGGACCCCAGCTCCTGCTATGGTTCAGGTTCCCTGTGGGCCAGCGAGCAGCCTGGGATGCTGCTGCAGCCACAGGGCCCTGCGTTGCTTGTGAAAAACAGTGCTTGTCTCTCATTCGGCGTCTGTGTCTTGCATGGAGGGTGGATTTGACCTTGGGGGGGGGTAGACAGGCTCTTCCTAACGCCCTTAAGGGCGGCATCCAGCCCTAGGAGATAGGGTGGGTGCAGGTCTAGGTGCCCAAGCAGCAGAGGCTTTCATTGGCATTGCTATCCCCACTGGAGGAAACATCAGGCTGAGCCATGCAGGGACAGTGACACTGGAGTGCCCCGGAGTCACTTGTGCGGGTGGCAGTGCCGGGCACAGGAAGGGTTCCTGGCTCCCAGTGTGGAGGTGGCAGAGGCAGCAGCCAGGTGCGCTGCAGCTCCAGCACATCCATGGCACCATCCCACTGCCCCGGCCTCCCCTTCCTTCCCTTTCCCAAAGCAAGCAGTGGGGAGCGGGCCGCAGTGCCCAGGCCTGGGAAGGATATGGGGCTCCCGGAGCCCTAGGGTTGGGGTGACCCAGTGTCCTTCTCACAGGATCCAAGGTGCTGGTGTCTCGCCCTGCCTGGAGCCTGAGGTCCCGCGTGCCCATCCGCTTCCCGACGTCACCAATGCGACCATGGGAACTGGCAGTGAATAGGCGGCCACCCTCTGCCCCTTTTAACCAGCGCCGTTTCTCGGGGGGACCCTGCAGCAGCCCCGACCACCTCCGGCGAAGGTACGGGGCGCGGGGCCCTGTCACCCGTGTGTGTGTGTGGGGACACGGGGATGGTTCCGTGTATCTGCTGGGGCAAGGCGCTGGTTCCTGGGGGTCTTGGGGTGGAGACTGTGACAGGGAAGCGCATCCTGGCCCAGGCGATGGGGACACGGGCAGGGTGAGCAGATGAGCCGGTTCTGGAGCTCAGTGCCCTCAGCACCTCCCCGCAGGAGCCGAGCTGTCACTGCCCCGCCTGCGGCCGCCCTGCCCGGGGCTGTGGGGTCACTCCTGCTCTGTTTCTCTCCCGCGGTGGCCCCGCAGCCCCCCTGCCAGGCGTCAGTGGGGACGACGCGACCGACCTCTGGCAGCCCTGCTGGGCCAGGATGAGCCCCAGCTGCACCCTGCCTTCCCCCAGCAGCCGCACGGCCCTGTAGATGAGCCCCGCGCATACGCTCTCCCCAGCACGCCGCCACGAATGCTTCACCCGGCCGCTCACCCGCCCCACCAGAACCCATTCATGGTGGATCTGCATGACCAGGTACGTGCTGCAGCCCCCCGGTCCCAAAGGTGACCTTCTGGTGGCCCCGGGGCACTGGTCCCAAGATAAGGTCCCTGGGTGTAGGATGGTCGGTTGCTGCTGGGAGCACCCAGCTCTGTCCTGCAAGCAGTTAAACCCTGGGGTCCCTCTGCCAGTTTGGGTGTACCTGGGGTGGTCCCTGCTCCCAGGGGCTGGGGACTGTCCTCTCATAGTGTTCGTGTCACAACTGTCACCATCGTCCGTGGTGGCAGTGCTGGGTTGGAAGCCATGGGGAGCAAAGAGGGGTACAAAACCCACCTTGAATGCAGCCTGCATTGAGTTCCCCTTGTCTGGGCACACCACTGGGACAGCGGTGGTGGGTGGCTGTGTCCTAGTGCCAGGTGCTCAGTGTCCTGCTGCCCTTCTGCGGCTCATCTGTGGCTGCACACTGACCGTGCCCTCGGCGCTTTGTCCTCAGGTGCACCAGGGACCTGTCCCTCTCTCCTACACGGTTACCACCGTCACGACGCAAGGCTTCCCCATCCACGCCGGCCAGCACATCCCTGGGTGCAGCACCCAGCAGCTCCCAGCATGCTCAGTGATGTTCAGTGGACAGCACTACCCGCTCTGCTGCCTCCCGCCCCCGGTGAGTGACAGTGGGGACACCCACAGGGGAAACCCTGAACTGTGGGTGCCCAGAGGTCACATGGGAACCCATCCCCACTGCAGAGCAAGGCTTTGGGGGCAGGAGGTCTGCTGGAGGCTCTGGGGAGGGGGCAGCCATGCTCACAGTGGTGTCTGACCTCTGTTTTTCTCTTCCCTCCCTCAGTTGATCCAGGCATGTGCCATGCAACAGCTTCCCGTCTCCTACCAGACGTTTCCCCCCATCATCTCCAGCGACCATTACATCCTGCACCCCCCACCACCGCCAGTGCCCCCCCACCAGCCACCCCACATGGCCCCCCTGGGGCAGTTTGTACCTCTCCAAGCCCAGCATCCGCGTATGGTGAGTTGGGGTGCGGGTATGGGCTGGGGACACAATGCACCCTGTGGCCCAACAAAGACCACCTTGGGGGGCTTGTCCTTCTGCAACCCCCATGGGTATGAGTTGGGGTGATGGGTGGGATGCCCATGGTGCCTCTGTCCTGCTAGTGATGGGGCAGTGTATTTGGGACACTTCCCCCATCCTAACTGTTTTCCCCACAGCCTCTGCAGAGGATAGACAATGACGTGGACCTGCGAGGGGAGCAGCACCCCATCGCGGGCTTCACGTACCCCCCGTCCCACCATGCTCCCACGCTGTCCCCCTCTGTGCCGCTGCATTACCTCCCCCACGACCCGCTGCACCAAGAACTGCCATTTGGCGTGGTGAGTGCCTGTCCTGGGGAGGGGTGGGGGGACGCCATGGGGCTGGCACGGCTCTGAGCACCCCATCTCTCTGCAGCCATACCCCCACATGATGCCCCGGCGGCTGAACACCCAGCGGTACCGGCTGCAGCAGGCGCTGCCCCCTCCACCGCCTCCTCCGCCACCCCCTCCGTACTACCCAAGCTTCCTGCCCTATTTCCTGTGAGTACTGGGGGACACAAGGGGCCATGAGGGTCAGGATGGGAGACACAGTGGCACGGCGTTGGCACAGGTGGCTCTGGCCATGCCAGAGTGGAGGTTGGGGTTTGTGGCTCCACACTGATCACGCTGTCCTGCCCACCCCAGCTCTATGCTTCCTGTGTCACCGACAGCCGTGGGACCCACGATCAGCCTGGACCTGGACGTGGATGATGTGGAGATGGAGAACTACGAGGTGCGTTGGCAGGCGTGTGCCGTGCAGCAGCTCCCTGTCTCCTACCAGGCATTCCCACCATCATCTCCAGCTTTCCGTGGGGCAGTGGGATGGGGGAACTGGGGGGGGGGTGTTTGGGGATCGCTCTGGAGGGGTGCTGTGCCGGGGCCTGAGCTGAACCAGTCTCTGCGTGTTCCTCCAGGCGCTGCTGAACCTGGCTGAGCGGCTGGGGGAGGCCAAGCCGCGGGGACTCACCAAAGCAGACATCGAGCACCTCCCGTCCTACCGCTTCAACCCCGAGAGCCATCAGTCCGAGCAGACCCTGTGAGTGAGCCCGGGGTGCCTGCTGTGGGGGAACGGGGGGTGCCTGGCGGTGGCTGGGGGCTGTGTTGCCACGCTGGGGTCACACTGACGCCCGCCTCCCCTAGGTGTGTCGTGTGCTTCAGTGACTTCGAGGCCCGGCAGCTTCTCCGCGTCCTGCCCTGCAACCACGAGTTCCACGCCAAGTGTGTCGACAAATGGTTAAAGGTACTGCCTGTGCCTTTTCGGGGTGCTGGGGGTGCAGGGCCCGGCATTTGCCACAGGATGCACTGGGAGCAGTGCCAGGGTGGATCAGGCAGGCCCGGGAGGTGGCACCCTAGGGGTGTTTCCAGCTTGCGGTGGTGGTGGTGGTGCTCTGGGGTGTCCATTCCCTCACCCCTGTTCTCTCGGTGCCCGCAGGCAAACCGCACGTGCCCGATCTGCCGGGCGGACGCGTCGGAGGTGCAGCGGGATGCGGACTGAGGCAGGCGGGTGCTGAGCCGCACAATTCGCTAGAGGACGAGGACGCCGGGCCAGGGGTGGGGGCCGCTGCCCGCTGCTAGGGCCTGACCCTGTGCTTACCCCCCCTCCCCAAAGCCTCTCCTCGATGTGGTGAGCATTGAGCAGCCCGGGCTCCAGGCCAGCCCTCCTCCTCCCCGCCGGGCACGGACTCGGCTGCGCTCCCGGGGCCCCGAATCGTGTTGTGCTGGAGGCAGGAGGCGCGTGGCCGTGCCCTCCACGCTCCAAAGACGCTATTGTTGCTCCATCACTTTCCAGGTCTTTGTACTCCGTTAGGGAATTAGCGTTTTTTCCCTTTGTCACCTTTTTTTTTTTAATGCTAGTTTGTTCCCCCCCTTCCCCCTTTCCTTTTTCCGTCGCGTTTTTGGTTCCGTGGCCCTTTGCCCCAGCGGCTCCTCCCCTCGGCGTTGCTCATGGAGGACGCGGGGAGGAGAGAGAAGGGAGCCCCGCGGGTTGATGCATCCCGAGCCGGGGCAGCCGCAGGAGGTGGCCGAGGTTGGACACCAGCAGCCTCGCGGTGTGGCCGGGGCAGGATTGCCTCCATCCCCGCTCCGCACGCAGCCCCTCTCCCGCCTCGACTGCCCAGTGGAGCCCTGGAGTGTTGTGGCTGGCTGGGGTCTTAGCCAGTGGGAGGATGGTGCAGGCACAGCCCCGGCCCCTCTCCCCGTTCATTCTCCCATTCCCAGCACAGCTCCTGGGGCTGGGCCGTGGCGTCCTGCGATGCCTGAAGGGGGGAGACCCAGCCCCATCCTTGCAGCCATGGGCATGAGGTGCCCGCCTGGCCCGCAGCTCCTGCTGCCGTTTCTATTCCGCTGCCATAGATTGGAATAGCCCCGTGCCCCGTCCTGCTGGCTGGGCGGCTGGTGCGGGGGAGCCCGGCCGGGGGCCACGGAGCGGGGTTTAGTCCAGACCCTCGTGGTGTATTCTCAGTGCTACCCCGGCCCTGCCCCAGCCGGTGCGGGGGGGAGCTGTGAGCATCCCCCCGCTGCCATATCTTCCCCCATAACCGTGTGGGGCCAGGAGAGATGCCGCCGCCCGGCTCCAGCCATCCCGTGGTTTTGCATGATTCCTTAGTGAGGAGGGTGACAGGCGGGGGGTGGCGTGAGGGCCGCCCTCCCCTCGCGGCGCGCGCGTTGCTGACGCCTGGGAGCCTCCGAGCGGACGCCAGCCCTATGTAAATGTTCACAAATATGCATGCATGTCTGACCAGCTTGGAACGTGGTCTTGGCTACGTGTAGCCGGCTGTGGGGTGAGGGGGGTGGGGAGAGGGGTTTTTGTGCTCAGCTGATACTGCCATGCACTGTACTGCACATGTCCGCAACGCCACAGCAGGACCGTGAGACTTTTCAGGGCCGTCCCCGCGGGGTCTGCGCCCCTCCGAGCGGGAGGCGGCGGCGTGTGCAAGGGGACGGGGTGGGAGGGTGGCGGGGGGATGCTCCCCGCGGGGCGGGGGGCCGGCAGCAGGGCTGGCCCCGGGCAGCGGCCGGGTGCGAGGCCAGGGGCACGTGGAGAGGAACACGGGACCGCGCTGCCTGCGCTGCCACACCATTGGTCCGGAGGGGCCTCTCGCCAATCAGCAGGTCTCTGCCCAGCCAATCGGGTGTGGGGGGGCGGCAGGCGGCGTGTCGCTATTGGCCAGCTCCCCCTCGCCTCCCTTCCCCAGCCTCGGCGGTCCCCATGTGCGGAGCGTCGAGGCCGATGGCCCCGTCCTGGCGCCACCAGCTCCGCCGCGGGCACTGGCACCGCTGGGCTCGGTGCCCCTTGGGCAGGACCCCGGCCCCCTCCCCGTCCCTCACTCAGTGACTGATAACCAAAGGAGTCCCCGTGCCCCCCGGAGACGCCCCGTATCCCCCCCCCATTCCTCCCCTCCCGCCCTCGCGGTGCCCAGGGAGCCAGGAAAGCCTTACGGTCCTTTGACGGCGACTCGAAAGCTCACAGCTCGTGTGCTGCAGAATTTATTCCAATGAGCAGCTAAAAGTATCATTTAAGAAAAAAAAAAATAACAAAAAGAAAAAATGACAAAAAAAAAAATACTAAAAAACAATTATTTAGGGTGTTTGTGATTGCTGACTGCGCTGTAGATACCACTGTTTACCAATGATTTCCTGTGGTGGGATAGTGGACTGTTTACTGTTCTATTATACCAGTCCCCGGGCCCTCCGGTGGGACCTCCGCGGCCCCCGCGGCTCCCCGGAAGGTGCTAGGACGTGTGTTCTGTGTTAGAAAGTTTTTATATATATATATATATATATAAATATATATATATAATTTTTTTTGCTCTGTTACTTGCACATTTTACAGTTACCTCATTTTTCCCATGTATGTATTTGAAAAAAGGCTAATATATAGAAAAAAAAGGTTCTTAAAAGCTCTAAAAGTGTTTGTTTTTTTTCCATTCCATTGGAATCATATTGGTTTTGTAGCATTTAACATAACTAGTATGTTGTATTATATATATGTGTATTATACTGATTGAAATTTTTAACAGATTTGTACTTTTTTTAAAATGAAAGTTGCTAGTTCTGCTTGACCAAGTAGTGCAATCATTATTTTTTTTAATGTTGTGGCTGATTTTGAGAGGGATATTCACTAATAAATGTATGATGTATACCAACACGCTGCGCCCTGGCTCTTATCTCTGCGTGGGCTGGAGGGCTTGAGGCCGGGCTCATGCTCTGCTCAGGGATGGGGGTCCCCAGGCCATCACTTAGCAGGGGGAAGATCCCCAGAGAGTGGGTTTGGAGGAGAGACCTGGAGAGCCAGGGGTGAAGCATGAGTTGGCTGAGTCGTAGAATCATGGAAAGGTTTGTGTTGGAAGGGACCTTAAAGCTCATTCATCTCCAACGCCTGCCACAGGCAGGGACCCCTTCCACTGGAGCAGCTTGCTCCAAGCCCCTGTGCCCAACCTGGCCTTGAGCACTGCCAGGGATGGGGCAGCCACAGCTTCTCTGGGCACCCTGTGCCAGCGCCTCAGCACCCTCACAGGGAAGAGCTGCCTAAGAGCTCAGCTCAGTCTCCCCTTGGCCTGTCCCTACAGGCCCTTGTCCAAGGCCCCTCTCCAGGTTTCCTGGAGGCCCTTTATGCACTGGGTGCTGCCATAAGGTCTCCCCAACGCCTTCTCTTTTGGCTGAACAATCCCAGCTCTCAGCCTGGCTCCAGAGCAGAGGTATTCCAGCCTTTGGATTGTCATTGCCCTTCTCTGGACTCACTCCAGCAGCTCCACATCCCTTTTGTGCTGTGTCCCCTCTGCTGCTAGATCAAAAGAGAGGTCTTGATCCAGCAGCACAAAGGACCCCCTCATTCTCACATGGGGATCCTTCACAGCTGCCACCCTGGTCAGGGCATGCTCCTGGGTGGCTCCAGCAGCAGCCAGGTGATCCCTGCACACCCTGGCACTTCAAGCAGAGGGAACAGACACATCCACCACACCTGCAACAGGAGGCCAGGAGCTCCAGTTCCCCAAGGATGAGAGCAAGGCTGCTACTCCCCAGACCGAGCTGCTCCAGAAGGCCAGAAAGGATGAAGAGCTCTTTGGCTAGGAGGAAAATGAAAGGTTCCTTCTCTTAAAAAAGCCAAGGAAGTAGGGTTGACCTACTACAGCTTGCAGAAATGGTGGGATGGAGAGAGGTCCCTGTTCCTTCTGTGCTTCATGCTGGCACAAGCACATGGTTACCTATTCAGAAAGGTGACCAGCCAGTAGAAAAGAGACGTGCTGCCACCCCTCTCCCTTTGGGCAGGAGTTGATAGCACCACAGCTCAGCTATGACCACGTCCCTCAAACTTGAGTGAGAAGGGTTCACCCAACCCTACAAGCAGAGGAAGGGCCGTTTCCCTCCTCCCCAGCCTCAGCCCAGAGCTCATTGCCACAGGCCAGCAGCAACCTCAGCCCTGGCTCCCCTGTGCTGTGCCTTGCACAGCCCGAAAGGACCAGTTCAAGGCCAAGAGCTGAGGTGCAGCAGCTGGGGCAGGGGGCATAGGCAGACAGCAGTGGCACAGACATGCTAGAGGCAGAGTTTATTACACTACGCAGGCTAAGAACCCTGGGCAAGACCCCACACAGGTAAGAATCGAACCAGCTCTTTATCAAAAAAGTTAATACTACAGTCAACCCCCTTCTCCTTTGGTCATTACAAAGCAAGAGAAATATTAAAAGGAAGGATATTTATACACGGAGGGAAGCTGAAGAGATTCTGTCCAGCCCTTCCCACCCCACTCCCAGCACATTCGGGTGCCCGGTGTTCCGGCTGGCAGGAGCAGCAGTATCAAAATCTTCACGAGATGTTGGGGTTGTCGGGGTTTTATTATTACTGTCGTCAATAAAAGCAAGAATTCCCAAGAGCTGCCATTCCTGGTCCTCCCCAGGGAGGACGGAGGGGCAACACCAGCTCCCCTCCCTCTCTGCCCTCCAAGTGTCGGGGGTGGCTGTGCATGGGGTGCGTGAGGCCACGCGCACACACACTTCCTCTCGCCAGTGCGCACCCACTCAGCACAGGCCATGTGGTCTCTGATCCCTCTTTTGTACGCAGTTCATTTAAAAAAAATATTGTATTATAATAATAATATGAATTTCTCTTCCCACGGTGTGGCTGCGGGAAAGAAGCGTCAATCGTCCGTCAGGTCCTGCACAAAGAGGACTTCCGTGTGGCTGAGTCCGGCCTCCTGCAATGTGGGTGGGTTGGGCCACTCCTCTGTGGGGAGGCAGGGCAGGACCCGGCGAGGGAAGTTGGCCTCAATCTGGAACTTCTCAGGGCTTTCTTTCAAGGAGAACAGGAAGTCGTGGATCACCTGGGAAAGAAGCACAGGAGTAACTGCCAGCGGGGGGAGCAGTGACACAGGCAGGCTGCAGCCGTGGCATCTCGTGGGGGGAACGGTACCGGATTTGCACCATCACTGCACTGCAGACATGAGACAGCTATTTTTTTAGCACGTGTGAAATGGGACTTGTCAAGAGCACCTGGGGAGTCCACACATTGTTTCTGGCTCTTCCTACACCATTACTTCATAAAGAACCAGCCAGAGTCCCAGGAGAACAAAAAGTTTCTTCCATTTCCCCTCTAATCTCTTTGAAGCTGGTGGGTCCAGGCCCCACAATACCCTCCCCACTCAGGAACAACTCTGCCTGCTGAGGCTCTTGGCAAAAGTCACCATTTGGCAAAGTCCAATGGAAGCAAAGCTTTGCTGAGTCACCTGGAGAATCTCTTGACCCTCTTACACCCTGGGAAGCCCCATCAGCTCTGCCCCAAGCTCACCGTCAAGGACTGTGTGAAGTGGAATCGCCGCTCCACTCTGGAATCATTAGGCAGCTTGAAAATGATCTTGACGCTGTCTGGGTCAT